TCACACACTTGCATCATTTAACTTAGAAGCATTTACATTTATCAAACATTTTACAGTATAAAAAAGTTCTGAATTGAAGTACAGTCAAAAGCATTTGCTGTAAAATTGATACTTTCAACTTTGGGCACCATTTGGTAGTTTGCAAAGACATGTGTTGTCATTCTGAATATACCGTACTACAGTTTATAGAATAAAGAATGAGTTTTATAGATTGTGTTTCTTATTTTGTTCCTGAAGTATCAGTTTCTGTCTACTTTCTGTATACTTTGCTTAAATATTTTAGATGTTAATCTACCCTTTTATAAACACAGTAGCATAATGAGCAATGCAATTCAAAGCATTAAATTGTCACGTAGAATCGTGGAAGTCATTGGAGCATTTACCAGTCACAGAGAGAAAATGCACATCTCACAATTGAAAAAAGAGAGAGAAGCAAGAGTGAGACAATCTTAAAGTCTTTGTTATGAGCTCCTGCTGTCAGTCATTCAGATGTAGGCTTCCCTGTAAGAAATTAGACTTGGCACTAGATATATTATTTTCAAAATCCTATGAATGTACGGCATCATCTGAAATATGAGGATGCTACTTGTGTTTATGTAAGAGAGAGTATGATGATCTATGTCGGGTATGTTTTTCCAGACTGTCTTGCTGGTTCATTGTAATTCATATTGTCTGTTATTTTAATAGTAACACTATTTTGTGACCATCGTGGTATATGATGAAATCATGTGCATACCACATTGCCATTCGTGTTATGAGTTGAGTTTTAATGTAATCTAAGAAATGCATTTGGTTTCTTTATTTTTCCACTAGGGCAGGTTTGCAGACTGCTTGTGTCAGGATGCTTTTCAAATTATCATTAGAATCATGTTATTTTATGGACCAGGTTATGAGTATCAGCCTTAAAATCATGTATTCTGTACTGTTACTCGCCTTACGCTAGTCAATAGTGTACACCGACATTAGAGACGCTAATTTCTTAAAGTTTATTTAACAGTTTCACACACTTGCATCATTTAACTTAGAAGCATTTACATTTATCAAGCATTTTACAGTATAAAAAAGTTCTGAATTGAAGTACAGTCAAAAGCATTTGCTGTAAAATTGATACTTTCAACTTTGGGCACCATTTGGTAGTTTGCTAAGACTTGTGTTGTCATTCTGAATATACCGTACTACAGTTTATAGAATAAAGAATGAGTTTTATAGATTGTGTTTCTTATTTTGTTCCTGTAGTATCAGTTTCTGTCTATTTCTGTATACTTTGCTTAAATATTTTAGATGTTAATCTACCCTTTTATAAACACAGTAGCATAATGAGCAATGCAATTCAGAGCATTAAATTGTCACGTAGAATCGTGGAAGTCATTGGAGCATTTACTAGTCACAGAGAGAAAATGCACATCTCAAACAATTGAAAAAAGAGAGAGAAGCAAGAGTGAGACAATCTTAAAGTTTTTGTTATGAGCTCCTGCTGTCAGTCATTCAGATGTGTCTGCCTGCAGACGTTGATGAATTCAGCCTGAACGGCAAGCTCATCAACATGAGAAGTTGTCTCCACATCTACGCTCCCTCTGGAGGACGTAGAGCCTAAGGTTGTGTAGCGTCTGTGGAGTTGCTGCCCAGACTGAGAGCCCTTATGTAGGCTGCTCTGGGACTGTTGTGTTGAGTTTAACCCACTGCAATGGACCGAGACGTGAGCTGGTCTCCCAGATATAGTGCTCCATTGCTTGGGTCGGCTGGGGACTGTAGCGGGGTCCACATCCCCACAGGAGGCAGTGCGGTATAGGCTGGGTTCGGTGGAGTTTCCCCGACAGGGTTGTCCATCCGGGGGTCCACGTGTGCTGAGAGAGAGCCTGGAGGAGCCGAACAGGCTATGCTGAAACAAAGCTTCACTGTTCAAGGCCTCGTCAATGCTTCGCCTCAGGTCGATTGGCGAAGGGGGCCGCAGATCTGCTGTGGAGTCGGCATCGAAGCTTGCAAAGGAGGATACTTTACTCTTCTTTATGGTTTGGGAGAGCTGTGTGCAAGACTTGTGCTGAGGGCTGCTGGGATAGTGGAGGTCCAAGCCATCGAATTCGCTGTGCAGAAGCTCCACCAAGGTGTAGAGCGGCACGCTTTCACTTTCCCGCCGAGCTATTCCCTCACACAACCCCAGCTTCTCTGCAGGCCGTAGTGACCAGCCACACCGACTCGAGAGGATGGTGGGTTTGGCCATCGTTGTGCCTTCTGTGGGTGGCTTTTTGAAGAGCCAACTGCAGCCTCCTGATTTGGAAAGGGGCACTCCGCAACAGAGAAGGGGGTGAGTGATTACAAGAGCGAGGGTGAGACATACTCCTGTTTCACAGACTCGGCAGCTGAGCTGGAAGCCCCACCAGGGCCAGGGCATCATGCCAACCATGACTCCACCGGTCAGCCCTCCTGCATTAAGCATAGCATAAAGTCGTAGACTGCCACATGCTAGCAGAAACAGGGCAGAGAATACCCCTGTCCTGGCCGCCCTTTCCCACATCCGTGCTTCTGTGAATGGACACCTGCTAGCATGGCACGATGGCCAATCGGGAGAGCTCTCACTTAGCCGGTAAATGTGTTTGACATCGGCACGAGCACAGCAGTAAAGAAGCAGGTATGTGAATGACAAGAAAGAGGACATCAATACGAATGCTGTAGGTGGTAATAGAGGCACAACTTGCAGGGTGGGAAAGAGTTGCAGTATTGCCATGGATGCCATTACTATAGCTATGTGCAGTAGCACTAGGGCAGCCAACAAGCAGGTGCTGCGCTGCAGGGTGTTCTGAGAAAGTAGCTGGGTACAAGAGCGAGCGGTTAGCAATAGAAGCAGCAGACCAAATGATGCCGTAATACAGGGATATGCAGCTTCATGCAGCAGTCGTGCCCAGACTATGGGTAGGCGCTCTTTTTGGCCATATGGATCGTAGAGGAGCCACAGAGCTCTGCTGGAACCTGTTAGTAGTTGGAGAAGGTGGAGGAGGCTGAAGTGGGCACAGCCAGAGGGCCAGCGCAACGGCAAACACATCAGGCTGAGCAAAGACAGCACAGCCACGAGCGAGAACACACAGCCGAGCCCGTATACCTGCAACTCCCATGCCAGGCCCCATGTCGCCATTGCAGCATTCCAATCAGTCAGTAGAGGGACCAGTAGAGGCGGGGTGAGGGCTTCAAGGGGTGTGGTTTCATACACAGGAGGTGGAGTGGACAGAGTGTTGTTAGTTGAAGCATGATTCCGTGAGGAGTCAGTCGACTGACAGATTCTAGTGCCAACCAGGCTGCAGTCCAGAAGTGTGGAAGATTTGCGCTTGTCATCACCTGGAGATGCTGAAATACAATATATAGCTTAGTTTAAGATGCATTGTTATACATACACTCAGAAAAAAGGTACAAATGCTTTCAGTAAGTTCAGAAAAATAAGTTCAGAAATTAAGCTCTGTGTAATAAAATGGAATGACCCAGGGAAAAAGTATTGAACATGCTTACTGAAATTTATTGAATACTTCGTACAAAAGCCTTTGTTGGTAATGACAGCTTCAAGACGCCTCCTGTATAGAGAAACTAGTCGCATGCATTGCTCAGGTGTGATTTTGGCCCATTCTTCCACACAAACATTCTTCAAATCTTGAAGGTTCCATGGGCGTCTTCTATGGACTCTAATCTTTAGTTCTTTCCATAGATTTTCTATTGGATTCAAGTCAGGTGATTGGCTGGCCATTCTAGCAACTTTACTTTTTTTCTCTGGAACCAAATGAGTTTCCTTGGCTGTGTGTTTGGGATCATTGTCTCACTGGAATGTCCACCCTCATTTCATCATCATAATCCTGGTAGATGACAGCAGATTTTTATCAAGAATATCTCTGTACATTTTTCCATTCATCCTTCCTTCAATTATATGAATTTTGCCAGTGCCACACCATAATGTTTTGGGGTGATGTGCAGAGCCATTTGACCTCCAAACATGGTGTGTATTATGGCATCCAAAGAGTTTAATTTTGGTCTCATCTGACCAGACTATATTCTCCCAGTATTTCACAGGCTTGTCTAAATGTTGTGCAGCAAACTTTAATCGAGCTTCAACATGCTTTTTCTTCAGCAATACATGGTGAGTGTGCATACAGGCCCCGGTGGTTGAGTGCATTACTTATAGTTTTCTTTGAAACAATTGTACATGCTAATTCCAGGTCTTTCTGAAGCTCTCCACAAGTGATCCTTGGCTCTTGGACAACTCTTCTGATAATTATTTTCTAATTTATGGTGAAATTATGTTCTTTCCACTTCCAGATTATGGCCCCAACAGTGCTCACTGGAACATTCAGAAGTATAGAAATGCTTCTGTAACCAATGCCCAACAGTGCTCACTGGAACATTCAGAAGTATAGAAATCCTTCTGTAACCAATGCCATCAGTATGCTTCGCAACAATATGGTTGCGAAGGTCTTGAGAGAGCTCTTTGCTTTTACCCATCATGAAATGTTTCTTGTGTGACACGTTGGTCATGAGACACCTTTTTATAGGCCATTAGTTGGGACTGAACCAACTAATATTAATTTCCACTGACAAGGGGCAGGATTGCTTTCTAATTACTGATAGATTTCAGCTGGTGTCTTGGCTTTCCATACCTTTTTGCACCTCCCTTTCTTCATGTTCAATACTTTTTTCCCTGTGTCATTCTACTTTATTACACAGAACTTAATTTCTGAACTTATTTGTTTTGCTTTCTTTGTGTGTATGGATTTCTTGGATTGTTACCGACATCTGGTGAACATTTCATGTTAACAGCACCATACAAAGGGTATATAACAAAGTATTGAGATGAAATTTTGTTATTGACCAAATACTTATTTTCCACCATAATTTGCAAATAAATTCTTTAAAAATCCTACAATGTGATTTTCTGGATTTTTTTTTCTCATTTTGTCTCTCATAGTTGAGGTATACCTATGATGAAAATTACAGGCCTCTCTCATCTTTTTAAGTGGGAGAACTTGCACAATTGGTGGCTGACTAAATACTTTTTTCCCCCACTGTATTTACTGAGAAAAATGGTGATGTGTTCAATACTTATTTTACCAGCTGTATAAGTATGCATAAAATATAACAGTAATTTTGTTTAAAAAATATTTCACACAAACATTAAACAATGTTGTATAGATGAACATTGGAACATTCACTGTTGGAACTCACTGTATTTTCAAAATTTAAAGTTTATAACATTGATCATACCAGTAACAAGAAATCACAGCACAAACATTCTTTTTCAATTATTTATATTATTAATTACATATTTAGTTAAGATTTTTAGTACACTTGTTAGACTTTGCATTAAAAACCCAGGAAAACAATAGGCTAAATAAATACTTTTTTTTTTTTTTTTTTGCAAAATTACTTTAATGAACGAAACAATCCTGAATGAACCATTTCATATTACTAACTGTTATAGTTATAGAATGCTGCCTTTCAAATGGTGTAAGATTTGTAATGCAGCTTTAAAGTAGATTAAGTCTGTTTATGGACTCATGAGGTTATATTCACAAAACACTAAGCTAATATTCCCCACAAGCAGCTTATGACGTTTTTTTTAGGCATATGATGAAGTTACACTTGATACAACCCAAGAGGTATTTAAGTCGCTGAGAAAACACATAACAAACCACACACTGATGTTTCACAGAACAATCCTGTATAAGAATACAGATTATCTAAAACAAGAGTTAAGTAGATAGCTGTGCATTGCTCCAGTATGTAAGCCAGGGTCATGAATCTCAGCATTAATATAAGAAGATACACCATCAGCCGTAAATATATAAAACAATGACTGTGTTAATTAGCTATAGAGATATATGGAACTAGGCTGTTGTAAATGGGTCGCAGTTCAGCTCTGACACACATTCACATACGGCACAGATAAGAGGGCATTGACCCTGTTGCCATTCTCATGAGTGTGACTATTTAAAAACTAGTAACTGACACACTTTCATAACATTACATCACTTAAATACCTGTGCGTGGAAGTGAGGAGGTGTGGCTCTATGTAGCAAGCTTGTGTTTCTGAATACAGCCTCAGTTTTACCAAAACCCTGCTCTAATTGTGGATCAATTGTGGAAGGCACTTCATTGCTTATTGAAGGGTTGATTGATTAATATAGATTATTAGTAAGTGTTTCCACTTGAGTAACGATCCAGAATACACTGGGGCTGAATCTCTGAGTCAGCATTAGCCTTTAGCATGTGTTAATTAAGGTCAGAGAATCTGGCTTGAGTTTTCCCCTCTTAAGATTGAATGATTGACCTTTGTGCATAGGAAGAGATTTCAGTACCAACCACCCTTAATATTTCTTTGGGTGGTCAAAAACGACAGGTTTACTTTGTGCACAAGGGCAACAAAATAAGGGGGAAAGTGTTAATGAAGAGATCATGCAATATTTAATAAAAATCTCATTGGCTGCACTTTCTAAACCCCTAAGATCCAGCATTAGCTTTCATAGCTCACCTTGCAGTTTCTGCTAGTTTTATCTTATTTCTGAGACAGAAAATATATTAAAAACCAGTTATTTTAAATTTTTAAGTATTCTCAAATAAATGTAGCCTTTGTAAGCACAAGAGACTCAAAAACATTTTGATTCAATAAAAAGAATTGGCTCATAATAGTAATTTGCATGTGAATCAGACTACAAGTACAAGGTTGTGTGTTTGTTTTTGCGTGAGGCCAAAATGACAAAACTGGTTACATACTGTATGCAAAACCTAGTTCAACTATTGCAAATCTTCATTTTTTAAATACATTTTTCTTGTAATCTGTCAGATGCATATAAATTTAGAAGCATTGTGAAGACCTGGAAAGCTCTTGCTCTCTGCTCACCAACAGAATAAGGTCATGTGTTAGAATTCTGACAATGAATGCTTCAGTACCTGCTTCAGGATAGGTTTCAGTGACCTTGATCACAGTGGTGGTCGACTGGCCATTTTGGTCCTTTTTCACTTGGTCAACACCCTTGCGCTCCTCTATTTCAGGGTCAGGATTTGTCACATTGAGAGTCGGCTCAGTCAGACTATCTGAGAGAGAGAGAGAAAATAGGATTGTAAACCTGTTGTCAAGCAAGCAGAACTGAGAGCTAATGCTAGCTCAAAGAGAAACCATATAATTTGATTTAAACCTGTTTTTGTTCTTGTTTTATACACATAATCCTCAGCCAAACTTTAATTCCAAAAGATTCAAAAGAAGCTGTAAATTGCATTAAATTTCACAATGAGTCGCTAGGGGGCTTGTATCCCCCTCACATCTGCAGTGATAAACGGCTTGTTCACTGCTGGAATACTGATGTTTTCACTGCAGCTTGAGGAACAGCAAGCAGAGTAAGCTAAGAGCACAATGAGGATGCACTATACCGACGCAGGCATTAAGCGGAAGCTATTATGTCAAAACAGCATTACCAAATAGATGCAGTAAAAGTGCAATGATACCAATATCACTTCATGACAAAATTCTGATGTGTACATTTACACATTTGATTCAGTTTAAAATGTCATTATCAGTGTTTCAAGTATCATATCATATTGTACCTGAGTATTTGAATGAGTGAATGAGTAGATTTTCTTATTGTATTAAAAGCAATGTAGAAAAAAAACTACAGTACTGCGAAATAATGACAATAAGTTATTTTCTACTGAGTTGTCCTTGAAGTCTGCATGCAGAAACATACAAAGTGGCACTTGTAGTCTATAATTCAAACACAAATGACTCTGAGCCAAATCATAAGTGAATCAGAAACATACAGTGCAACCAGAGTAATCAGATTCACAAACAAATTTCTCTTCTGAGCCGATTTTTTTGTGAATCAAAAGCATACAGTGTCATAAGTAGTCCGATTCATGAACAAATGACTCTTATGAGCCAAATATCTTTAGTGAATCAAAAAAATACAGTGCACATGTAGTATGATTCACGCACAAGTGACTCTTATGAGCCGATTCTTTTTAGTGAATCAAAAACATACAGCACGACCAGAGTCAGATTCACAAACAAATGACTATTATTAGCCAAGTTACTGGTTTGAATCAGTCTGACAATTCCTTCATTGAACAGAATCCATCAGAATGGTTACAACAATTGACTTACTATGATTATTGTGATTATTTTTATGACTATTTTCAGTGATGTCTGTATTAAACTGACATATCAGCTTTATCAGTTAAGCATGGTTATGCTCAGTCATGAGCACCAAAACATCATGAATCGTCATGATCCAACATGGAAAATCATTTGATTTAAGTTTATTGCTTTGCAAAGTTTTGCATGTATTTCATACATAGATATACATTCACACACTATCATGCTCAGAGTTGGGTCTGATGTATCATTAATTTGATTACCTGTAGGAGCATCTGTCAAATCCTTTGTTTCCTCAGATGGCTGCAGATTGTCTGTCAGCCCTCTTGGCAAAGTGGTACCATCTAAAGTTCCTCTGGCATATGGTGTCTGAGTAGCACCAGAGGACTTCCACAGTGTCTGGTAGGTGCTAAATCTAGTTTCGGCACGAGTCTGAGGTGTATATGTCTCTGTATTCCAAGCAATAGGTGTCTTGGATTTGGTACTCCAGGCCTGAGAAGAAAAAGGCTGTAGTGTTGCCAGGGAAGATGATTTAAAAGATTGTTCCATATTGCCTTGCTTACTAAAATTTGGCCAATCAGATGCCTCTGTTTGAGGTCCCTCTTCATCGTTCTGGATATCTGAAGGAGGTTCAATCTTAGTAGAAGTCAAAGTTTTGATCCATGGTGTTCTTGAGGCTGGAAGTCTTGACAAACCATGATCCTCCATTGTGACATAAGGTTTTTGATCAACTGAAGGGTCCACCTCAAGGTCTCTGCTAGTCCCATCTGAATGTAATACATCGGTTGGACTTGTCATGTCCATTTCTGTTGATCGAGACGTCCATGGTGAGCTGGTAGCTGACTCTGGGTCCACGCTGGCCCAAAAGTGGGCTCTTTCATTTCTATTTAAAGATACAGCACACAGACTACCATATAGTGAGACACTGAAGACCAGCAGTAGAGCTTCACTGTGAGGGGTCATGCTGACACTCCTCTGAAGATGTTACTCCTCACAATATCACCAAGTTGTCTCCAGTTGACTCTCACATTCTGCACTGTTTCTGGGGGGGAGGGGCACAGATAAGATAAGAACAGCTGGGTAGCTTCTATACTTCAATAAATAATAAAACAATTAAATAAATAATAAAATACAATTATATAAATTAGTATATACATTTATACTTAATTCAAAAATGTATTTATATATTTATTATAAATCTATACTTTGCGAGATAATAAAATAAAATGTGTAAATTATTGTAAATCTATACTTATAATTGTTTACAATAATCGTTCGCTATCACTAAGTTGGTGGTGGTGATATGGTAATATTTAAAAAAGATATTAAAAATAAATATCCAATAAAAATATGATAGTACTGAAATTAGGGATGCATAATATAACAGTTATCAGCTAATATATGTTATTTTATTTAATGTATCATATATAACTGATAATGTACTGATATATCATGAATCTCTAATGTCAAATATATGTATCTTTACATGAAATTGGACATATTAGTTCTCCAACAGTGGCACTGAAGGTTGAGTGTGGAGTGGCATATTACAGCCAGAGCTCTGAATTTACACACCATCAGTCTTATTCGATCCCCTCCAACTCAGAAAAAAATGTACCTCACAGAACAGGACAGCCATTAAACACAGAAATACTTCACAGTGCATACTTTTACACAGACAAATGCTATATATTTTACATAATTAACATGGATCAGTCCTTATTAATAACATAATTGCAGATATATTAAGAGTTTGCAGTTCCATTAGACTGCTTAGATTTATGTCAAATGATCTGACAGCTGCTGCAGTGCAAGCTCTGCTTCTTAACTCACAAGAATCTTTTCTCGCCTTTTTGCATTTCTCAACACTCTTTCCTCTTATTTCTGCCTCCCGAAGTGCATGCAACATTTATAATTTATATTTCAACAATAGAGAGGGGGATGCTGGTCTACATTACCAACCAGTGCAGCACTGTTTAATGCATCTTCTCTTCAGCATCCAGTGACACATTTTCACACAGAAGCAACTGAACTCACATACACATACATGCACAAACACAAAGTTTGATTGTGCCAGAAGAGATGTGCTCACCCCGGGACGCATGGATGAAGAGTCTAAAATAGGAGTAATCCTTCTGCCTATCGTCCTGCAGCAGAAAATATTTGATTCTGTCTGTGCCTGCGCACGCGTGTGTGTTTTAGTGCTCTCTCTCTCTCTCTCTAACACACACACATACCCATCTATGCTTTTTGCAGGGACACACACACACGCTGCCTGACAACCCCCCTTTTAGTATCCCATCTCCAGTCTGATCCCTCTCTTCTGATTCGGTTAAGCTGTGCCTCTAGTTTCCAGAGCTGGATTAGCCATGTTAGGTGTTTGACTTCCTTTCTCTTACATCATTGAGTATCAGAGGCAGGGCATCTACTGCAGTGATGCTCCTAAAAAGGAAAAAAAAGCATGTTTACAGTACATTCAAAGATCTAAATAGAAGAGGATGAGCCTCCCATTTCAATTTAGTTTAGCAAATCAATATACAATATTGAACGTAATTTTCTGAATCCCTCAGAGAGAGTCAGAGATCAATATGCAGCAATAAATCACAGCTCTAAAGACCACAAGAGTGGCTGCTGCTGTTTTCGCTTATGGTGGATTGAGAAAGCATTCTAAAGATAAAATAAAATCTAAAAAAATCTAAAATCTTGCAAAGTAATAAATAAAATAACATGGACTGGTTTGAAATGGACAAGGGAAAAGACCCTCCAAGTAGGGTTATTTTAATGATAAGCAGCTAAAATTAGATTTTTTTTTATTCAGCAAGGATTCATTGAATTGATCAAAAGTGTAATGAAGACATTTGTAATTTACAAAAGATTTCTATTTCTAATAAATTGTTTTTTTTACTTCATAATCATCAAAGAACCCTGAAAAAGCAATGCATCAGGGTTTTCACAAAAATATTAAGCAGCAACAGCATGATTTCAACACTGATAATCATAAGAAATGTTTATTCAGCACCAAAGTTGCTGATAAGAATACTTTTTTTTTAAACAATTATTTTAAACTGTAATAATATGTCACAATTTTTGATCGAATAAATGCAGCCTTGGTAAGCATAAGAAACTGCTTTCAAAAACACTTAAAAAGCCCAATTTATATATATAATACAATTCTTCAGGCAGATTCTCAGACATTTTGTGCTTTTATTAATTATGGTGTTGCATTTTATTAGCTGATCCCATTGGCATGTAAGTCCATGTGGGTAAATGAGTGAGTGGCAATAGCTGGGCAAACACTCTATTTCATATTCAGAGCATATAAACACTCAATACATATTTAAAGCCATTCCCCATCAGTGAATCCAGGATGGATGGTCCGCTGGGACGCACCCATGTGTGTGGTCAGACAGAATGAGCAGGATGTAGATCAATCCTTATTAAAACACACCCCGAGAGAACACAAACTGGGACAGGCCCATAAAAAGCTAGTTGTGAGAGGACTAGTTAGGGCTCAGAGAATATAAACAGATTATAATATTTGGTAAAACAGTTAAAGTAATCACCGTATGCCATATTCATCAGAGAAGTTGAGACTGCATGACTAATAAATTCACCCCATGGGAATACAAAGGGATGTTTTCATTTGTTTTCACAGATTGACATGCACTTTGAATGCATTGCACATTGCATTCTCTTATAGTGTGTGAACAGGAAGGCACCAAATGAGCTGGAACTAAAGGGAGGTTTGGTTAGAACAATGACCCAGATGAGCTGATCAAACATATGACATCAGCGTGGTCCGCAGCCAG